TCATCGCGCTGAAAACGTCGACGATCCAGAACGTCTCCGTCAAGTATTCAACGGCCTCGCCTCACTAGGTCGCAAATGGGAAGTCATTCTGCCGCTTCACCCACGGACCAAAGCAGCAATGAATCGCATGGAATTAACGCCACCTGAGAACGTACGTCTGATCGATCCCGTGGGATATTTGGACATGCTACAGCTTCAAAAGAACGCTGCTGCCATTGTTACCGACTCTGGTGGCGTTCAGAAAGAAGCGTTTTTCGCTCAGGTTCCCTGCCTGACTCTGCGAGATGAAACTGAATGGGTCGAGCTGATTGACGCTGGCTGGAATCGCCTTGTCAGTGCAACAGAGATGCTCCAACTAGATTCAATCGTCGAAGAATTCGTCGAATTACCTAGAAATGATGCACCTCAGCTATATGGTGGAGGGAATGCAACGAACCAAATCTGCGAAGCCCTAATCGAACTTCAAGGGCCGTAATCGACGAGCTTCCGTCACCATTGATCGCACTCCCACGACATAAGTGAATTGACCCACGATCGCAGCCTAAGCGGGGCCCACTTTGCCATCGGCGTGAGTATCTTTCAGCCCGCAGGCATCAAAAACGTGATTACCTTGGAGGGTGAATTCGCCGCATGGACCAAGCACGATTTTTCCATGGTTTATCCTCATTCTGTCCAGCAATATTAGACCGAAAGGCTTCTCACTGGTCACAAAATCATTAGGGCAATTCGCGGCCTGGTCACTCTCGCCCTAGAACCCATACAATCATCAGGCTTCCCTTTCTTGGAATTTCTTAAGCTAGCACCTTTCGCTCGGTCGATTCATCTGATCTTGTGTAGGGGTAGGTAACGGCGGTGTGGCGTTCTCCTCTCCTAACACCCTCTCGATTCGTTGAAACTTCCGTTGATTGGCTTCCCGGGCATTGGCGGTGCCGGGTGGTTTGATTTGAGAATGGGCACTGATGAGTGAAGATCAAGCGTTGGGCGCGATTCCTCCCTTTCCGGCCGGGTACCGTGGCTCGGGATTGCTGTTGCATGTGACCTCGTTGCCGAGTCGCTTTGGCATTGGCGACTTCGGTCCAGAGGCGATTCGCTGGATCGATCTGCTACATGAAAGTGGTCAATCGTGGTGGCAAGTGCTTCCGCTGGGTCCAACCGGACGTGGCGGATCACCCTACCTGCCGTTGTCTTCTTTCGCGCTGAATGAAATTCTGGTCAGTCCACAGTGGCTGCTCGAAGACAACCTGATCGAACCAGCCGACTGCGAAGCCTCGATCGAGTTGGTCAAAGTCGACTTCGAGGTAGTCACGCCGTTTAAGTTTGCTCTGCTTGATAAAGCTTGGAACCGCTTTCAGCAGAACACCAGCGAATCCCAGAAGGCGAATTTCCAGTCGTTCTGCGAAGTCAATGCGCACTGGCTGGACGACTATGCGTTGTTTCGTGCTCTAAAAATCAAGTTCGACGACGCCGACTTTCTTACCTGGCCGCAGCCATTGGTCGATCGCGACCCCACAGCCCTGGCCGAAGCACGTCAGGATGTTGCCGAACTGTTCGACAAGTTCCGGTTCTATCAACATGTCGTCGCCGACCATGCTTCGCGCGTTCAGCAGCATGCAAAATCGCAGGGCGTTCGCTTGATCGGGGATGTCCCGATTTACGTATCGGCCGAGTCTAGCGATACCTGGGCGAATCCCGAGCTATTTATGCTCGACGAAAACAAGCGGCCCCTGTTCGTCGCCGGGGTTCCTCCGGACTACTTCAGTGCCGACGGCCAATTGTGGGGCAATCCGGTTTATAACTGGGAAGCCCATCGACGTAGCGGTTTTCGCTGGTTTATCGATCGCCTCCATTCCCTGCTGACCTACGTCGACTCGATCCGGCTGGACCACTTCCGCGGATTTGCTGCCGCGTGGAATGTGCCTGCGGATGCCGAGACCGCCGTGGATGGCAAATGGGTCGATGGCCCCGGTGCCGAACTGTTCGAGGCGGTCCAAAACAAGCTCGGGT